GAAAACAGCAGCTAAATAAAAATATTTAGCTTTATCATATCTCTTGCAAGCGGAAAAGGTTATGAAGCATATTTGCGGATCGCGGCTGCGAGCACAATAAAAGCCTTGATAATGATGTACTCCAGCCAGAGGGAGGAATGCAAGGTTTGCTGCCAACAGGGAAAGCAACGCCATGTTATGAGACGCCACAATAGCGCCCGGCCCTGCATGAGAAGGAAATGGTTAAAGCCCAACCCCAGCCAAAACAACACACCGGGAGGGGATTTCAGAACTGGAGCAGACAGGATCTAGAGCAGTTACCCATGGCAACCAATCAGAGTCTGTCTTCAATTTGTTCAGTCAAGCTCTGAAAATAAAAGATGGCCGACTGGTTGCCATGGGCAACTGCTCCATGTTTTTGCCTGCTTCGGTTTTAATAAATTCCTCTCATTTTATTTTAGTTTTGACAGAGCAAGAGCCCATTCACACGAGGGCGGCTGCGAATCAACGCGGTTTCCGCAGTGGTCTCAGAAAAGGGAGATTTTGGCCATTTTTAATTGCGTTTCAGCGCGGTTCCATTTAGACCGCGTTCACACCAGGGTCGTTCGACCGCACGGATCCGCTGACATGAACGATTCCATACATTGCAACGGGGATTGCTGCGGATATGTGTCCGCGCAATCCAAAGCGCCCCCCGCCCAAACTGCTCCCTGCGCTATTTTTGCCACGCTGATCAGTGCGGTTTCCATACAGCTTTCAATGGAACTGCACTGATCAGCGCGGTTTTGGGCGTTTCAGCACTGAAACGCAATTAAAAACTACCAAAACCTCAATTTTGAGATCAGCGCGGTAACCGTGCTGATCCTGCAATCGCCCTGGTGCGAATTGTGGTTCGGATTGTGCGCGGTCGCATGAACAGTCCCTATAGCAATGTATGGGATCGTTCATGTCGGCGGATACACGCAGCCGAACCGTCCCGGTGTGAACGGGGCCTAAGCCCTCGTTCACACCTGAACGCTTTGAAGCGCGTTCTACGCTCGACGAACGCTCTACAAAACGCTCAAAAATATAAATCCCATTGTATTCAATGGTCTCGTTCCCACCTTGGCGTATTTCCACCCGTCCCTAACGCGCTACAAAATGGCCCACGCCTGAAAAGGTACATGTACTACTTTGGGCCGTTTTGTTGCGCGTTTCCATTGGGATACAGCCAAGTAGCCTTCGGAAACGCGCGTTTGTCGCGCGACTTTTTTACCGGTGACAGACGCGCATATGCAATACGCCTAGGTGTGAACGAGACCGGAAGGTAGAGAACCCATTTCTGGTTTTTATTGCGGTCCGTGTCTCAATTAGGTAGACTTCCCTCACTTCCTGTATGGACCGGGAGTGATGGGAAATCTCCCCGGGGGGGGGGGGACAGAGTCTGCAACAAGACACTTTGGGGGGAATTCATGAAACCTGGAGCAGAGTTTTCTTATAGCAACCAATCAGCATCTCTCTTTAAGGTGATTGGTTGCCATGCAACTGCTCCAGATTCTGTCTGCTGAAGTCTTTATTTATTCCCCCCCTTCATGTACTAAAATGTGAAGAGTTAGAACGCCTGTCATGTAGTTATTTACTATTCTGAAGTCTATTAAAAACATTGGCTCGAGTTAAGCTTTAAATGCGACTCTTTTACTTGAGCGCAAAGTCAAGTGGGTGGCCGCCTATCCATCCATGGCCATTGTACAACCAAGCAGCAAATATGTAGTGTTAAGTAGCTCCTAGCAACCAGCCCCGTCCTCCTAGCAACCTCAGGCCTGTGAACAGAATGGAGGTTTCAGGCCTGGTGAGGGCCCACAAGAAGCTCTACAACCCCCTAGTGGTGCCCATTACAAGAACCGTGGCAAGCGCTGGATGGCATGGGGAAACATTGGGTGTAGAGTTTTCCCGTATTGGGAGCTCCGATAGAATATAAAACCGCAACGCATCGGAGGAGCAGATATGAGTATGGCGACGTATGATGTCACGGAGGATATGGCTTTCCATTGCCCAAAACAAAAATGGCCAAAGCTTGAAAAGACATGAAAACGCATAAAATGCTTCAAAAACACGTTCGCACACATAAAAGAAAAGCTTTGAACAATTGTGTGTGTAAATGGCAGTAAGTTGGCCCTACCATCTGCCTCAAAAAGAGCCCTAAGTCTCAAATGGAAGCAGCAGTAGGTCTCATCCAAGCGTGCACCCAAAATGGCTGCCTTTACGTGCTGGCAGCGCAGTTGATACATTGAACCGGCGCGGCTCCGTTTGATGTTTATGATGTCCTCACTTTGCATTACAGACAGGGAGGCGGGAATGGCACGCAGCGGCCTGCCTGGCACGGCGCCCCAGATCCATCTTACCATTAAGAGCTCTGCTGACTGTATTAATATTAGGACATGAGCGAGCGAGGTGGGGATGCCGTCTCCGGGCTGAGCGTCATAAATCAACGTTACCTCGCCGGAGTGACCCCGGTGAGATCCGGGAGTAGCGCATGTTTCTCCCACACGAGGGCCAAACACACAAGCCGAACGTGGTGAAATATAGATATAAACTTTGAGGGATTACCAATATCATTTTGTACGGCGGCCATTTTGCCGGACTGACCATTGTTTGGACACCAGTATGAGATGTCCAATGGAGGTTTTCTCCATC